TGGCCGTGGGAGCAGCTGTTGCTCCGCTCCGGTGGCAGTGTCCCCATCACGCGCTGGCCACCTCCAGCATGCGATCAGAGCCCGGCGGACTTGGCACATCCGCTGGGGCAGCAAACATGGGCCAGGCCTCCTCTCCCTCTCCCACCATCGGGCTCCCAGGCAGCGTCCCGCGGGGCGGGGAGGCAGCCAGTCCAGCGCCCACATTGTCTGTTCTCCCACTGCCTTGGCTGAGTGCAGCACTGACATTTGAAACTTCCCGACATAAATAAGTTTTATTAAGAAATGCTGTAAATCGTCCCCCGCCGCAGGGGCTGGCAGCAGAGCAGGGTGTGACGTAGAGGAGACCCTACGGAGAGAGGGGCAGGAGGCGGGTGCTGCTCAGTGCATCCCCCAGGCTGAGAGCAACAGGAAACCTTCACTGGGAAAGGTTAATGCTGGAGGAAGATCTAATGAGCACTTGATTTTTTGTTTGTTTGGGTTTTGGACTTTTTTTTGCATGTGTTACGAAACACTTACAATTTGTCCTTGTCAAGCTGTGGATGCAGGGAAGAGAGGTCAGCTGGAGTCAGACAGCAGATGGAAACATTTTTCAGGAATACAATAGCATAAGTGAAGGAATTGTTGAGTAATGTGGGAAGAATAAATCCTCAGCATAAAAATCAGCTTGCATATGCACACAGTATATCACTGAATGTTTTCCAGGCTGGTTTCAGCATGGTGCTCTTGATACTGCAAAGGTGAGAGCAGACTCAGACTACATACATACACAGTGCACAAGCAGTTAATAAACCAGTACCCATCTCTTCATAATACAGACAAACCAGACAGAAATTGAAAAATAACTTTAAAAAGAGGCAGCATGGGTTTCTTTTGTGTTTCCAAGGGAAAAAAAAAAAACAAACAAAAAGCAAAAAACAAAACCCAACGCTGTGAGCAGGCTCTGTATCTTGGCTATATTCCTGTAATGCCTTGTCATTGGGTTTGAAAATAAACTGCTGTGGGATCTGGTGCCACAGCCTGGTGCCCATTTCCCATTTCCCCTGCAGCATTAGCCACGCTACATATTGCAGCAGCAGATTGCAGTTACCCCAGGCTGCCTTATTTACTGCCCGATGCAGCTGAAGATGCTGCCAGAGCCCTGCCATGCCCATCTCCTCTGAAGATCCTCCCGTCCCTCTCCACCTGTCAGAGCATCAGGGAGCAGTCCCACACCCCAGCGTCGGGGCGGTGGGACACCTTGATCTTACTCCCTCTGTGTCCCAGAGCCCGGGGCTGTTTCCCTTGGGGATGCAGCACTAGGCCAGTTGGCCAGGTTCATTCCTGGGGTAATGATATCAGCGGGGCAGGATTGCCTTGAGGTTAAAATCATTTATGCTTGTGTTTGCAAGGAGTGCAGGCGGGGTTACGCCATCACTGCTACAACCCGATTGTGTGGCTGGGAGGTGAAGGCTGCTTTGTCCAAACTGACATTAATCAAGAGAACTCAGTATTTTCTGTTAATTACTTTACACGCACTCAATATAGGCCGTGAAGGCTGGGTTAGCCAATGCAAAATAAATCAAAGCTACATGAAAAATCCAAGAGCAACCTTTCAACTGACAAGGTTCAGCTTGTAAGAGAGCTTTGTTCTTCACTTTTAATCAAGCTGTCTGCTCAAGAGACCCAAGTAAACGCATGCAGAAGCCCTTCCCTTGTTACCAGGTTCCACACGCAGAGCCATGGAGCACAAGTGCTTTATCTAACCCAGTCGTGCTGCACTCTTCTGCAGAGCATCCCCTGGCTGCAAGCCACCTCACCTGGCCCCGTGCCTGCTTTTGAGCCTGCCCTTGCTGCAAATTAAAGCGCATTCACACAGACCACCTTCACTGGCACTGCAGCTGACAAACTTCTAGCTCGGGCTGGGAAGAAGGGCAGAGGACTGGTGCTGTGGCTGCGCAGGTGGGTGGTACCTGTCTGCAGCACCTTGACATGTTAGAGCAAGCACCTCTGTCTTTGTGCCACGGTGCTGTCCCAGCACACTCCTGTCTGTGTAAAGTCAAGACAAAGACATAGCTGTTTCTGAACCCAGCTGAAGTCGGTGTCTAATAGTTATCACTTTGGTCAAAGGGGATAAAAAGTTTTCAGCCAACAGCACTGTCTGATTTTGGTATCTTGCCCCTGCTGTAGGACTCCCCAACCAATAAACTACTGTATGCCAAGGAGATCCCCGAGTACAGGAAGATCGTGCAGCGATACTACAAGCAAATCCACGACATGCCCCCGCTCAGCGAGCAGGAAATGAACGCCCACCTTGCGGAGGAGTCACGGGTAAGGGCGCTGGGCACAATGCGGGCTTGGGCACTGTGCACCCTGTGCTGGTGGTGGGGTCGGGTCTGCAGGCTCAGAGCCCGGCCAGGGCGAGGAACACCAGGCCTGCTCTGCTCTGGCTGACAGCAAGCGTCTGGGAGTGGCAGGGAACGCAGATAGGCTGTGGTCAGCTAGTGCTTAGATGCTGGAAGGAGCAAACACAAAAGGACATTTTGCCTCAAACTTCCAGGCACAAACTTCATCTGACCTAATTCTAGCCATCTTCAATTACTGCTGGAGCTGCAGTAAACACCCACGAGTTAGCTTGAACCTAACTAGCTTTGGCACCACTGGGAGATGAAAGTGAAAGTTGTTGCCAAATAGCCAGGAAGTCTGCAAAAAGATCTCTGCAGTCCCGAAGCCCCACAGCCAGCTGGCCCCCGGGCACCCACTGCCAGGGCTGGCCCCCTGTGCCAGGCAGCCCGCTGGCAGCTGGTCCTGGCAGCCGGCCTGGGCGCAGGATGCCGGCCTGGGTACCAGCTACGGGAGCTGGCAGCTGCACTCCGGATCCTAGTCCTGCCAGTGATGCGCCACAGCATCCTCAAAATCAAACTGTCTCCCCGCAGTGTTGTAGCTTCAGCCACCAAGTGGGGTTTTTTTCCATCAGTGTTCCTCTGGCCAGCTCTCATGCTGCCCCATCCTTTGAAAGGGCTTTGGGCACTGAAGAGTAAACAGTGCAGTCAAGCATGGGCATTTAAGGCTGGCTTTAAAAAGACTGAGACTGTTTCTGCTGCAAGTAAATGCACCTTCCTTAAAGGAGTAAATCAAAAGTCCACAGTAACAGAAAAACCCAGGCAAAACCTTCTTTTCCTCTAGTTAATGTCTGCTGAGGAGGCTTGAACTCGCCTGCTGCATCACATTAATATTCCTCCCTCTTTGTTCTGTCTTTATAAAGAAATACCGGAATGAATTCAACACCACTGTGGCCATGGCTGAGATATACAAATACGCCAAGAGATATCGCTCGCAGGTAAGTGGGCTCAGCTGTGCTCGGGCCTCAGCGTACCTGTGGAGGGAATAACAAGCCGAATTTTGTAACAGTCAGACACCTGCATCCAGTCCCATAGAAAAGGGATTATCATTTTTTGCATAATCCCACGCACATATGTAATATATGCACACACAGATGCACCTGCTCTCCTATCCCTTAGCTGACAAGAAGGCCAGCTATTCCTGGCTGATTTTAACAGCATTTGGCTGGGCTGGACTGAAGCGGAGCTGCCCCATATGTAGCCCCCCAGATGCTGAGATGCTCCATGCCCAATCCACATCCAAAATAACCTGCCACCCGCCGCCCTCAGTGAGGCACCAGCCCTGGCTGGCTCAAGGCTGGTTCTGTGCCTTGAGCTTTATTACTGCAGCAGGTTTTTGGTTGCAGTTCCCTCCTCTCCCACCCCCTGCCCAGGGACTCGGCTGTGCCCTAGAGGGGCCATGAAGCAGGGTGGGCTCTCCCGTCTAGAGGTCTGGCTGGGATTCGGGCTCAGCAGGGGGAACTGGGCTGGTGGGTGGACACCCCTGCAGGCACAGCCTTAGCCACTCCCCTGCCCACGTCTCCTGCAGATCGTGGCTGCCCTGGACACCAATCCTACGACAAAGCGCACCCAGCTCCAGCACAAGTTCGAGCAAGTGATTGCGCTCATGGAGGATAACATCTACGAGTGCTGCAGCGAAGCCTAGGCTGACTGCAGCCCTGGAAGTGACCTTCTCCGCAGCACAGTGCCGCAGGGAACCTGCCTTCAGCCGCGGATACACCATGGATCACCTCTGCCAGGGTTATTCCCAAACCAGCCTTGTGGTGGGGATGGGCCTGGCCTATGGCTGAAGGACTCCCTCACCTAACAAGAAGCCACGAGACACCTTTCCGAGCAGCTCAAAACCCCTCTGGTCTGCACTGTGGCACCCATAATTTATTTGCTGTTGCCAGCCAGAAATGGAGATGTGACACTTGTGGCAAGCTCAGTTCACCACCTCCCTCTGATCAGCGCCCGAGCAGTCAGCGGCAACCTGCATCCCTGTTGGTGGTTCCTCAGGATGGGACGGGGCTGCAGAAGTCGTAACAAAAGATGCAAAGCAGAAGGGCAGCCTCAGGGAGTAACGAGCGGAGATGGCAAAGGCCATTGGAGCAATGCCTGAGCTCCCCTCCACACCATCCCTCTGACATCCTTGTTTTTCTAACACCAGGGACTCTTATCAACTGTTCACTTTCTGCTGCATTCTGTGTATTTTTGTGCCTTTTAATTTTTGTACTGTATGTGTAAACATAACCACTCCTCAATCTGAGACTTGGGCAAGATGGGGAACTCGGGGCTGAGACAAAGCGGTTGCTTCCCAAGTAGCTAAGGCATGGTGAAAGCACTTTATCCCCTAACGGAGATAGCTGTTACGGAGCCAGAGGGAACACGTCATGTGTTAGACAGTGTGGGAAGGGCTGTTCCCCTTCCCCAGGTCCCCAGGTTTGCCTGCACAGCGAGCTGGATTTGCTGTGGGTAGGGAAATATCCCCAGCTGGGCACAGGCACAGCTTCTGCCTGGAAGCAGAAGCCCAGACGCAGCGGATGAGGGGCAGGACTTCTGCCTCGCACTCTGGTCTCCATGCCGTGCTGGCTGCTCACACGTCAATGGTGCTGCCCCAGCTCAGCCCCACTAACGCCACTCGTGCCAACAGGGCTCAGCTCCTGCTGCCAGTCCTCTGACAGAGCGTGATGGAGCCAGGTGCAGAGCAAAACACCAGGTAGCACCTTCCCTCCCCCAGCCCTACGTGCTCCAGCATCTCCCTGCGATCATCACCGAAAACAAGACCAGTGGCTACTGAGGTGTCTGCCTAAAGCAGCTTGTTCGGACTTTGGACCCACCATGGTTGTCACCTGAGAGCAGCCAAGAGAGTGCAGTTCTGCTGCACATCCAGGCTTTTTTTCAGCCCATAAAGGCCAAGGGACTGGACCTGGTCACCCTGGCAGCACAATGCTCTTGCAGGCCAGCAGAGCAGCTCCAGCACCCCAAGCTGCAAACAAAGGCAGAAGGTGTCCCACACCTACTTACACCGGGGTCAGTGAGCAGGGTCCCACTGCACAGACTTAGAAACTTCACTGCTGTTCTGTGGCATCTGTGCAGGGTCAAAGACCTGTCCCAGCTTGGTGGCCCATTCTCCTTTCTGCTGCCAGGGGAGCCGTGACCACTCCGGTCTTCCCCAGCATCATGCAGGCCCCTCTGTAGAGGCTGGACCACAGCTAATGCCACGTGCTTGAAGCCAGCATTGACATGCAGGCAAAGGTGACCTGCCCATGAAAGCTAAACCCAGCCACCGCATTTTCAAACCACCAAATGGAAAAGCAAAAAGAGTTACTACCTCACTCCAGGCAGGGTCTAAGGTGAGCCTCTGTTACTTGTCCAGCTGGCAAGGATGCAACCTGGTATTTGATGGTCCACCAAAACTCCTCCTGGGTGACACTGCCATGGGCAGGTGGCTTCCATCCCATCATTTCCAGTAACGCCACATTTGTCAGAAATTGGAACATCAGAATTGTGTATGTGTATATAGATATCTATTTTAAAACAAATTATAGACTTTATCCAGTATGTTAAAAAGGGGGGGGGGAGGAGGGGGGA